TCTCAAATAAATAAATAAAATCTTTTTAAAAAGAAAGAAAGAAAGAAAGAAAGAAAGAAAGAAAGAAAGAAAGAAAGAAAGGAAGGAAGGAAGAAAGAAAGGAAGAGAGAGTGAGAGAAGGGAGGAAGGAAGGAAAAGAAAAGAGCTGGCATTTTCATTATCCAACACCTTAAGGCTTTTGAGAGTTTGCATACTTTTCAACCCAATATTCCCACATCCCATGAGATAGTCATGGTGTCTTAATCACTGTCACTTTAGATTGGAGGAAATGGAGGTTCAGAAGGTACACTGGGCTGCCTAAATTCACATTGCCATTAAAAGATTCAAAGAATAACTCAGGGAGAAGGCAGAGGGGAAAGAACGAACATGGATTCTAGCGGATGACAAATCCAACAGAAGCTCAAGACAGGAAAATAAGTGGAATGTGTGACTGTTAGTTGAAAATGTTCTATTTTTGTTCACGAAGAACTGAGGAAGTTCGAAGGAAATGAAACCTCTCTGTGCGTGGCCAGGAAGAGGCCACAACTAGCTCCCTTCTATCTTGCAGCTTCTGGGCTGCCGACGCTGAGGGTTCTACCTGCAATTAGCGCAGCCACAGAAGACCAGGCTTCCCCACGCCTGGAAGACAAATGAAAACCGTCCTGGCTGTCAACAGGAAAGAAGGAGAACAAACCAACCATTCCTCTCTAACTACAGTAGTGTTTATGGAAAGAGGCATGGTGCAGACGTAATCAGCAAGCAAGTTTCAGTTTGATTTCGCTAAGAGTAGTCCTTCAGCTGACCATCTTGGAGAAGCTGATGAAGACACCATGGCTATCTCATGGGACGAATATCTTAATTATGTCCTCATTCTTAAATCTACCGGTGATGGCTTGTTGCTAGTTCCATCTGCTATCACCATGATCTCCAACTGACACAGAGATTGAGATACGGCTGTAGGCTTACTTACATATTTCTTTAAATTAATCTATCATCTATCTCCCCTTTTCTCTCTATACCCTACTCCTATTTCTCGACCTCTCCATATGCAACCACTTATGTGAAATATATATACATACACCTCTTATCTAGATGTTCATACAATATTTATTGCTGCTTTTTGTGCATGTATTTAAGTGTATGTAAATGGGATTGTGTCATATATCTCATTGTTTATATGCTATAGCTTATCCTGTTTGAAAGATCTCATACACGCTATTTTGTGTTCATTAAATCTACTGCTTTTTGCTGCTGCCTAGTGTACCCTGTGATGAGCATCCAGGTTGACCCCAACACACAGAATTATTGCAATAACCATTATGAACTTGTCTAAGAAATTCCTTGAGATATATCCACAGAGGTGGATATTGTTGGGACAGAAGGCTCAATAGACATACTTAAGCTAAGCAATGCCTATCTCCACGATAAGGACACCAATCTGAGGGGTGGGTCCCAGGGTAGAAGCCAGGGTACGGATCGTGACTACTCTACTTGCTAGTTGTGTGACCTGAGAAAATTACGTAACATCTCTTAGCCCCATTTTCTCCCTTATGAAATGAATAATTACAGTGCCTATCTCATAAAGTTACTATGAGAATTAAATGAGATAACAATAAAGTGCTTAGCACAGTATTTGGTACTTGGTAAGTAAATAAATATTATCACTGATTATCACCCCTCCCCACAAGTATGAGACTTCTGATTCTCCAATAGACTCTGAATCTTCATACTGGAAGGTCAGTAGAACTAATCTTTCTCACTGAACAGAATAAGAGCAGAGGTATCAAGTTTCATGCCCAAGGAGTCTGCATGTTTTTGGAGGAGGAAATTGAATGTGGCTTTGGGGTTCCCAAGCTACTGCTCCTTTCCCCACATCAGAAGGTGCATGACAGTGTTGATATTCCACTCGGGCAAAAAATGAATGATTACTGAAAAACAAAATCTGCCCATGAGTATCCGCTCATACCTAGTACTGTATGGAAGTTATACACTTCCACTGAATATGTCATGATCTCCTGAGAATTTTCTCCAGTCATTATAATGCATTTGTGCTTACTTCTGGGCACATACACTGTCAGAGCCACACTGATCTGCAGCCATGGAGCCTGCAGAAGGGGACTGAATCACATGGGGTCAGCCCATTCTTGAGCCCAGCAAAACCTGTGTTGTCCCTTGGTAATTTTGTAAGGAAGGCAGACACAGAGGTGCACCACTAACATAGTCCTTCAAGAAAAAACCAACTACTTGTCTGTAAGGACTGTGGTTGCCTGACAGCCTCCAGCTGTGGTTACTTTCAAACATCTGTCTCAGCTTTGGAGCCAAGTGCACAATTACACCAACAATCCTGAGCTAATGAGCAAACCACAGTCAGAGTACTAGGACCCGGCAATTTTATCACCACATGGGACTCCTCTGATGGGCGCCTTTTACTCCTGAGCTTTCCACGAGGTTGGCCAAGACTTTGCTGGATTTCCATCCTGGTCTGAAGCTCTCTCTGTCAAATTCTACTTTCTCACTCTTTTCTCTTTCACAGGCATTCCTCCCCAGTAAACCTACTGTACCACTAATTCCATCTCAGAGTCTGTGTCCAGAAGGACCCACTGACACAGCAAACAAAACACTACACATATTTGTACAATGCTTCCAATTTCCGTAAGATAATCTGACATCAAGAAATGTATTAACTGGGGAGGGTGCGCCTGGGTGGCTCAGTGGGTTAAAGTCTCTGCCTTTGGCTCAGGTCATGGTCTTAGGGTCCTGGGATTGAGCCCCACATCAGGCTCTCTGCTCGGCGGGGAGCCTGCTTCCCCCTCTCTCTCTGCCTGCCTCTCTGCCTACTTGTGATCTGTCTGTCAAATAAATAAATAAAAAATCTTTAAAAAAAAAATGAAATGTATTACTTGGCACTGTAATGACATTTGATATGCAAATACATGAGTTTTGAACTGTGCATCTTCACCAACCAAAACGACAGGGATCTTTAAAAACAATTGATAGGTACTAGTCTGTATTATCTATTTTGTGATGTGATCCAATGCTGATTAAATAATAAACATTTGTTCTACACAAGCTTTCTGCTTTGATGTTCTATCAATATATTTTCTAAATTTAATATACATATTAGCTGGGAATGAAGATGAGCAGACTGACGATCAGAGAAGTTGTGAACGGGTCAGTGTAAATCACTTTAAACTTCAGATTTTGTTTAAAGGGCCAACTATCATTTCATACATTCTTAATTTATAAACATAAATGGAAGTCAATTTAAAGCAATGTATCTCAACTGGGGCTGATTTTGCCTCCCAAGAGACATTTGGCAACATCTAGAGACATATTTTGGTTGCAACATCTTGGGGGGTGGAGGTGGGGGTGGGTGGGGGGAGGTGACGCTACCGGCATCTAGTGGACAGGACAGGAATGTTGCTAAATATCCTCCAATGTACAAGACAGTCCCCACAACAAAGAACTATATGGCCCAAAATGTCAATAATGTCAAGGTTGAGAAACCTTGGTTTAAAATTACAGAAAAAGTGTCCAATGTCCTGAGTGTTTTATTGAAAGCTAAAAGTAAAAGAAATGTTCTACCCACAATCTCATAGTGATATTTTGTTGTTGTGCTAATCAGTATCTCCCCATTCTCCTAAAAAAAAAGCTAATCTCAAACATTGAATAAAATAAATGATTACAATCATTTGCCCCTTATACAAGGAAGCAATGTTTTTAAGCAAATTCTTCAAATATCTTAATGAGACAGAAATGCAGGACATACATTAGAGATCACCAGAGTTCCATAACTGTCACCAAATCGTTAGGGTTTCTTCTTTTTTTTTCCATTTGCTCATATTCTTTCTGTTACCTTGGTGGAATTTTTCAGGTTTGAGCATACCCTACTTTCACACACCCATTGTTAATATTATTGGTTAACATATAATACACATATTATTTGATTTTTTAACATAGCAAGTATACATTAAATACCCTGGACATGCTAGACAAACCCCAGTATGTAGCAGGGAAGGGTATTTTTTCCTTTAACGCATGTGGCTATGTGGTTAATAATAATAATAATAATAGTAATAAATTTCTTTAAATTGCGCTTTTAGGATAATTGACGTTTAAACTGATCATCTGAAAGCCAAGAACATAGTATTAAGTTTAGATAGTATTAGTACTAAATCAATGCTTTAATTTTTCTCAGGGTTAAAGAATTAAAAAAAAAAAAAAAAACTTGGGGCTCCATTTGACGGTCAAGGTGCGCCCTCTGCTGAACAGAAGACAGAAATAACCTTGATACAGTTTAAATTCACAGGATTCTTGCACCGCTTTGCACCATCACTACACGTATCTCCATACAGCTCATCTGAAAAGTTGAGTGTAAACCCCACATTTTATTTGACTCAAGAAAATGTTAGGTTGAATTGTGACTTGCATATTAGAAAGGTCTTATGCTAAAAGATCGCCCAGAAAAAAAATCTCTAAACAGTATTAGCCGCATGAAATGACAACTAACACGCAACACAACGTTAACAATCTGAGCTTTACTTAACACGGTATTTTTGTTCTGTCAAGTCTCTTCGCTTTAATGGTATGTGACTATCAGGGAAAGCCAGTTATCCTTTCAGTCAGTCGTTACTATCAATCCTAGGAGTTAAAGTTCTCAAAAGTGACAGTAAATTACCAGGAGACAAAAATAATTTGGATTAATTAAACGGGAACCAAGGAGTCTAAGGGCAAGAAAAGTTCGTGCACCTCCGACTCGCCCTCCTGATCCAGAACCGGTTGTAAATTAAATATCCCCTTACTTTGCAGATGCCAAAACGCCCACCCAGGACACTCACCTAAGATCTATCTTTGTGGCTCCACTAACTGCCTGTCAAACCCTGAGGGATGCGTGTGTGTGTGTGTGTGTGTGTGTGCCTGGATGTGTTAGCATGAGCCCGCGCACGCATCGGTCTCTGTCTCCCTAAAGCCCCTGGTCCCGAGGCTCCGGCAAGCAGGTGTCTCGGGGCACCTGCTCTTACCTGGGCTCCGGCGAGAAGGCAGCCGCCGAGCATCAGCCACCCCCAGACGTGGGGCGATGCTCCCGGCCTGGCCATGCCCGGACCTGCCCGAGCTGGAAGCACAGACGTTCTCCCGGAGCCCGGAAAGGCTCCCTCCTCGCAACTTGGCCGGTGCAGGGCAAACTTGTGGCCCGGAGCGCGGCGCCGCTGGGGCGGCTCGGAGCGCGCGTCGGATCTCGGTCCTGCGCGGTGAGGCCCGCGCCTTGGTCGGGTCTGCGGGGGAGAGCGGCCCCTCAAGGCCCGCGAGGGGGCAGGCGGACCCTGCGGATCCCCGGTTGCAGGAGGGGCGGGAAGAGCTCCCGCTCCTGCTCAGAGTCACTGAGTCCCGCAGCCCAGGGGGCCCGAGGGCACCGATCTCGAGCTCTGCTGCCGCCGCCCCCAGCTCGCGCCGTCTCTACTTCCGTCCACTCTGTACCGGGTTCCAACCTCCTGTCTCGAGGGGTGGCCTAAGTCCTCAGGGAGTGCTCTAAAGCTCCCTGCTGTCCGGTGCGCGCTGACCACCAGTCACGGGAGGCACCGGCTGGTGCGGCTGAAGGCTTCGGGGGCCAGGCGGGTGCTGCACCTGCGGCTGTGAGGACCCGTCTCCACGACCCTCTCAAATTCTCTTCCCCTTCTTCTAACCACTATGAATAGTGTGTGCGCACCTGTGTGTGTGTGAGCGACTGAGAGCGAAGGAAGGAGGGAGGGAGATTCTGCTTCAGCTGAAATCTCTGGGTTGAAATTTCTTTGTATCATTTTCTAAGTATAGGATGCAAGCTTCGTAGAAAGACACCTAATATGCATTTATAGGGGTGGGGGGGTGAGGGCGTGCGCGCGCGCACGTGTGTAAATATCTTTATTTGGGACAAAGCCCGTTCCTTTCTTTTTCTTATAGGCATAATCATCAAGATGCCAGAAACCTTCCTTCAGAGACATTGAGTCCCCCGAATACTTAGTCTCCCAGGATCTGATCCAATAGGGAAAGAATGATTCCCATAGACAAAACACAAGCGTTCTCTCTCCTCTTGACAATGAGAATCTGAGATTTGTCACCATCAGCTTTCATATGAGTGCCAAAGTGAAAACTGGGTTTGCTTTTAAAACTTCTAGATTATTAATGGCTGGCCACCCTAACACTTTACTAGAAGGAGATCATTTGTATTTCTACACGTCTGAAATGTTCACTCCTATTTCTATTTTAATAGCATTGTTTATAGTACATATATGTATTGTGAACAACCTCGTGTTTTTTGGAAGTAGCAAAATCTACATTATACAACATACGCACAGGTACATACCAGTAAAATTACTAAGTAAACTTTACTTTCTACTTATTCTATCAAAGATTTCTAGCACTCTGCAGTGATTATTATCTAAAGCCTTCAGTTTCATTAAATTATTTAGAACTAGTACCTGTTATATTATCCTACTCAAGCAAGAAAATAGTGGTAATAGTATAAGACCGATATATTAGATATCTATCAGTATAAAGCATTAAGTGCTTTATTGCAGTTGTTAGTCTTCTAAGTACTTTACATAAAATCTTTCCATTAACCCTGTGAGATAGGCATTATTATTATCCATATTGATGAGGAAACAGTAAGTTACTTTCCCAAAGTCAAGGTATTCTATCATTGTGGCGTTACTAATCATGTGTTCTCCTATTTGTAAAAAAATATTATTACAGATTTTTTCCCATAGTCCTTGGGCCTCACAAAAGCAGAAACACTTTTCCAGCCAGTTTTTATTTTCATTTTTTTTGTTGTTCTTCCTCCCTTAGCCAGAGAATTATTTACTGTGCATTACTGTAGTCGTTCCAAGCCTGGGACAGTTTTATCCCCCAAGGGACATTTGGCAATGTCTAGAGACATTTTTGGTTGTGTCATATTTTTGGTGCGTCACATTACACATTACGAGCATGTAGGGGATAGAGGTCAGTGATGCTGTTAAACACCCTACAATTTGCAGAACAGTTTCTCGTGACAGAAATATCTGTCCCAAAATGTCAGTACTGACATGGCTGAGAAACTCTTCATTACAGCAAAAATGGTGCCCAAATTGTTAAATAAGATAGGCCTATACATTGGAACCTACAATCAATTTGTGTGAAACTTACGCTATTCAAAAGGTTCATTCATTAAAAAGGTAAAAATCAACAGGCTCTAGACTAGAATATTCGAAGTTTTGAAGATATTAAATTACGCTAAATGAAAAAGTTATGTAAAATAAAAAATAATTACACAAACAGCTGTGATATCATCAGGATATTTGTGACTCTTGCCATAAAATATATAATTGCCGATATCATGGGTAAACTTGGAATAATAAGATTATTTGTAAACTGATAACTTAAAAAAAGAAAAGAAAACCTTTAGGGGCACCTGGGTGGCTCAGTCAGTTAAGCGTCTGACTCTTGAATTCAACTCAGGTCATGATCTCAGAGTCATGAGATCAAGCCTTGCATAGGTCTCCCTCCGTGCTTAGTGGGGAGTCTGCTTGAGATTCTCTCCCTCTCTCTCTCTGCCCCTCCCCTGCTTGTTCTGGCCCTCTCAAACAAATAAAACTTTTTAAAAAAGTAAAACATTTATGCAAGTTGATGGAGTAATTTACCCAACAAACCTCTTTGCAAATGACATCTTGTTAATCCTTAAAATCATGAAAGTCAGTGACAGTTCTGATTATCCCCATTTGCAAATGAAAAACAGGATCTTGATCATTAAGGGACTCAACCCAAAGAAAATCCTAGCCCCAAGGAAATTATGTGATTTCTAGCAGTTTCATTTTGTTTTGTTTTTTTCTATCATTTATTTATTTGTTCATTGCTGTCTTTTGTCATTCCACTATGTCACATACCGACCTGTATCGGGATTAGCTGGCATGCTTGTTAAAAATGCACATTCTTGAGCTTTACCTGAGACCTGCTGAACCCCAATCTCCAGGTCTGATGTTTGGAAAACTACATTTTTTACAAGCTCCTGGGTGATTTTCATACAAGCTAAAGTTTCAGCATCACTGTCTAGACTGATTGGTACATGCAGCTGGTATAGACTTCACAGGCCTGGTGAGATCTAATAGCCCAATACTTCTCTTCTGTGAAAAGTATACTCAATGTCCTCTGCAGCGAAGGGGCAGGGGTCATGGGTCAACAGCCTATTTTGTAAGGTGGAGATTTGGGGACAGTAGACTGTTAACCCAACTTCCCCACCACTGCACAAGAACAGCCTTCTTGTGAGGAGGCCTGTTTTTGTTTTTGTTCTTGTTTTTCCATTTCTGAAGAGAGGTATCTTTCCGTGTTTTCATACTGTGCTTCTGTCTTTGTATTTGGTGAGGAGGACCAAAGGCTCTGAAGCCCTGGGTTGCTTTCTCAGGCTCCAGTACTCTTTGCTGAGCTTCTCCTGACCAGACCCTCACTCACTGTCTCTAGGGACTAATTTGAAAATCTTTATTCTGGGAGCAAAGATCCCTGCTACCAGCAGCTCTGTATTTGGGGAGAGGGCAACTAAAATGCTAACTTAATTAATTAAATTGAGATTAATTAATCAATGTAATTTAATTACCTTAATGGCTTCTCTAAGCTCTTTCAAGCTTTTCGATCCCAAGTGTGTGTGTGTGCGGTTTTGGCTGCTGTTGCTGTATGTGTCTGTGATTGTGTCTCTGAGTGTATCTGTGAATGTATCTGTGTGTGTATATCTCTGAGTACATACATGTCTGTGAGTGTGAGTGTGTGTGAGTCTGTGACTGTGTGTGTTTGCAATTGTTTCTGCTTTTAACATTCCGGCGATTTCTCAAAAATTTTAGTGTACAGGGGCACTTGTGTGTCTCAGTCATGAAGCGTCTGCCTTAGGCCCAGGTCATGATCCCAGGGTCAGGGGATCGAGCCCCGGAATGGGGCTCCCTGATCAGCTGGAAGGCTTGTTCTCCCTCTTCCACTCCCCCTACTTGTGTTCCCTCTCTCGCTGTGTCTCTTTCTCTGCCAAATAAATAAATAAAATCTTGAAAACTAAACAAAACAAATTTTAGTGTACCAATCTCATTCTTTGATGTTTTCCAGTATGGTGAAGTTTGAGTCTTTAAAAATACAGAGTTGACCTCTAAACAATGCAGGGGTTAAGGCCACTGGCCCCTATTCAGTTAAAAATCTGTGTATAACTTTTGACTCGCCCCAAACTTAGCTACCAATAGCTTCCTGTTGGCCAGAATCTTACCAATAACATAGTCGATCAACACAAATTTTATATGTCATATGTATTAAATATAATATTCTTATAATAAAGTAAAATAGAGAAAAGAAAATGCTACTAAGAAAATCATAAAGAAGAGAAAATGCATTTCCAGTGCTGTATTTATCAAAAAAATCCACATATAAATGGACCCTTCAACTCAAACCGCGATGTTCAAAGGCCAACGATATGTACATTTTCTCTCATTCCAATGAATCTTTCAACAGAAAGTAGAGTATATTCCCAGCCCACCACCTTTTTCTGGAAACCCAAGGTAAAATACGTTTTTAAAAATTCTTAGTCACATTTTTTTAAGTAATACGTGCTCCAAAAGCAAATTTTGAGAATACAGAAAAATTACAAAGAGAAAATCAACCAACTTTCCTTTATCTAATCTTTTGTCTACTCATAATTATTTTAAAGCAAAATTGGCCTTGGAGCATACATAACATTTTTTAAAGGAGGAAAAACAAACAGATTCAATAAGAATGTTTGGCTGGATGGGTTTGATTATTTAGTTTTCTATACTTTCTAAATGTTTATTGTATGATAACATTCTGGAAACAAAAATGTCATAAAAATATTCTAGAAGCAAAAATATCACTGATAACTTTCCTTGAACATGTTTTTTGGTGAATCATTGAATATTATCTTAAATTTTTTAAATCAAAACTTTTGTCAAAGATAAGCTCAAATTTAAAGGATATTATGGATATTTACGAAGTGAAACTATTTATAGTCTCAGAAAAGCATTTTCCAACAAACTTGCTTTCATTGGCATTATGTTCAGAATCCTGTCCATTTAACCAAGATGACACATAATTATTGCTTTAAGTT